ATCCGAAAAAAAAAATGACGTGCATCAAGGTCCTATTATGTTTAATGTATGTACCAAATTTGAATGAAATCCGTCCATGTATACAAATGTAACTGAGATCCGGGTCCGGAATGGTGAAAATGTGCGATTTCAATGCATTTTCGGCCTTAAAGCGGCCCCCATTTGGCTATCGTTAATGAGATCATGAAACAAATGCACATACATATTTGTGACATGATGCCAGTCGGCCATTTCGAACTTGATTCGAAAAAAAATGACGTGCATCAAGGTCCTATTATGTTTAATGTATGTACCAAATTTGAACAAAATCCGTCCATGCATAACTGAGATCCGGGTCCGGAATGGTGAAAATGTGCGATTTTGATGCATTTTCGGCCTTAAAATGGCCGCTATTCGGCTATCGTTAATCGGATCATGAAAAAAATGCATGTGCATATGTCCCATATAATGTGTGATGTATGAGTGAAGTTTGAACTTAATCGGTCCATGCATGTTCGAGATACAGGTGATCACGGACGCACGAACGCACGGACGGATGGACGGACGGACGGACGGACGGACGGACGGACGGACGGACGCACACAGGGCAAAACATATTAAGTCCCCGTTTTCGGACTGCGTCCGAACGGGGACTAATAAAGTGCAAGAATCCAGAAAAATATTATCAAGTTTTTATTATCATACATTAATATTAACAAATCGTGTGAAATTGAACTTTTATGTACAGAGAAACACATATTTATGCTTTGGTTGACAGCACTTCTCAAAAAAAAAAAAAGACGACGACTTTATACAATTGTCAGACATGCAGCGAATAGTATGCTTTTGTAATATATGCAGTTTCAATGGCTTTGCTTTCCGAGAAAAGAATTCTGGCTCTGCACCTGAAAAAAACAAAAGAACATTTAGTCAAAAGTAAGCAGAGATTGTAGCATATATGCTCCCATTAGCTGTTAAATTTAATTAAAAAAGATATTTGTGTACCGTCTTTTCAGTACGAAAACATATTACTTAATATATTTATACCAGCCCGAAAGAAATTGCAAGTTTTCACTGAGCAATTAGGAATATACATGGACAACAATTGATGCATGTTTAGCAATATACTGTGTGAAAGGCTGCAAGATGTAATGAAGTAGCAAACCAATCACTAATCGAGTCGGACTGGCTGGGAAACTGCACAATACATACAAAAATATATGTATTTTATATATGAGCAGCTCCACCAAATATAAAAATATTCTTTCCATAGTTATGACTCTAATGTGAATGTGATTTTCCACTCCTTAGCAATAGTAGTATTGTATTGTACTGTATCGTACAAGTTTATTGTGATTCTATATGTGTTTGTAATATTATTTAGCTTTATTTAGCATTCTGTTTAGTTGGTGAACTTTACTGTATCTTAATGTAGTTTATTTTATTTTTATACGACCATAGAACAACTCACTGTAGTTTGTTTTAATGTTGAATAAAAATTAAAATCAGTCACTGTATAGTGGTGACGTATTGCGCGAAATTGTTGCAAGGACAATACTTTTCTCAATTTGCGATCAGTCATGCGCCAATAAAAAATGCATGGAATGGTCGGCAGTATCGATCAAGTTTGTCTAGTGTGACATTCGTGGCTGGCGACAAGATGCCGTATAATCGTTTAAATAAGCGTCAAGGAGGAGTGAAAGGCCCGAATTTGGTTCTACAAAAGGCGTCATGAAATGTTGGAAAATTACAGTCAATAAAAAAACTGTTTACATGAAAACAAAAAATATTCACTATATTTATTATGCATTATTTTTTTGTTGGTAGCAAATGATCACGGTACGGTAGCTTACTTGTTTTCGAAGTGTTGTAATTGTTGATTAGTACTCAGTAGTGATTATATTAACGTACAAAAAAAAAAATTTGTTGAATTGTTATGAAATGCAAGTAAAATTGAACTTAGTTTTATAGTAAGCAAATGTTTTTGGTTACATGTTAACGCTTGATGAGACGATATCCACCATGTTATCCATGCCCACGACGCGTGTTTATTGACCAGATAGGTCAAGTCGCTAATCAACCAATCAAAATGCTGGATGGTGCCCATGTGCTCAAATTACTACATGTATAAAGCATTTAAATATGACAGTTCAGCGACCTCATGGTGAAAGCAACACGGAAGACCAGATTTACCGATGTTTTAGTGCGATCTTTTGGCTTCGTTTCTCATGGGGAAAAAGGCATGATTTTTTTTAATCGGATTTTAAAAATAAATAAACATACCGTCCCAAATAAAAATGTACCGGGTGGAATTTTTCTGTTGAAAAAATAAACGTACCAGTACGTTTATATTGGGACATTTAGCGTTGTGGGCAAGCTCTCCTGAGTAGCGACATATTTTTAACTTCGCCTATTGCGTGACCAGTGGGATTACGTAAATAAACCAACACTTTCAATGAGTACATGCCGACCCAACTAAACTTGTTTATGGCTGTTTATGAACAGCGAGGACGCATCTCGTAGACATAGCTGTGGAAATCATAACAAATGTAAATGTTGCGAAATCAGCATGTGATATGATTT